TTTTTTCTTTTTGCTTATGTGGTGCTGAGGAATGGAACCCAGGGCCTCAGGCATGCAAGGCAAGCGCTCTACCACTGAGCCACCTTCCCAGCCCCCATGAGACTCATCTCTAGTGAACCACCAGAAAACCGGAAGTGGCACTGTGGCTCAAGGGGTAGAGCAGTCACCTTGAGCTGAAGAGCTGAGGAACAGCGTTCAGGCCCAGACACACACACAAACCAAAAAAAAAACAAAACAAAAAAGGGCTCTGAGAAGTCCTACAGGGGCGGGCACCAGGGTCTCATCTTTTCTGACCACAGGACCACCTTATTTACTTCAACTAACTCCACAGAAAGCCAGCGAGATGGGGAGCCATGCTTCACTTAGGGACCCAGACACACAGAGACCCTGTGAGGGAATTCCCAACTCCACTTCCTCTTGTGGAGCCTGGTGTTAGGGGTAGGAAGGGTGTGTATATATATATGCATGTGTGCGTGTGTGTGTGCGCGCGCACACACTGCCCAGCCAGCACTGCCCCAATAGTACCTACTTGGCAAATCCAATGAAGTCTTCGTGGTTCGTGTTGATGTAGGACTGCTCGATGTCGATCAGAAGCAGGATCTAGGGGAAAGTGAGCATCACTGTGACTATGGATCAGCTGGGAAAGGCGTGTCCTCCGCTCACCAGCAGGGGGCGGCAGAGGGCAGCTAGTAATGGGCTGGCCCCACTGACCTAAGGCATGCCAGGCTAGGGGTTGATCTGCAGAGGGTAGGGAAGCAACAAAGGGCAATTCTAGGGCCTCAGGGGCACTTAAGCCTGGGTTGCCAGCTTCCAGTGGCTCTCCCTTATAACCCTGGCTACTCAAGCAGCTGAGATCGGAGTGCTAAGATTCAAAGTCAGCCTGGCCAGGAACGTCTATAAGACCTTTATCGCCAATGAACCAGCAAAGAGCTAGAAGTGGAGCTGTGGTTCACGTGGTAGGACACCTGACTTGAGTGAAAAAGGTAAGGGACAGACAGCACCCATGCCCTGAGTTTAAGCCCCTGTAACAGAAAAAAAAAAAAGTCATAAAACCTATGAAGATAATTTGGGGAGAACATTAAGATCCAGCTGGGTGTCGTAGGAAAATGAAACATAAAACAGGAGGGAGTAAGTGCAGGTGCTAGGTACAGGGTTCAACCTCCAGCACCACAGCCTGGTCCACACACAGATGCCCCTTCGCGAGCGAAGCCACACACCTTCACGTGAGGAAGGGTGCAGGTGTGATACATGGCAGCCCCCTCAAAATCGACTCCACTCCCAGCAGCCCCCCACTGCTGCTGCTCGGCTTGTTCTTCCCAGGGTTATCTTGGTGGGTGGAAACTGGGGCTCTGATGTCCCCAGGGAGGCCCCCACCCCTCTTCTGTGCCACAGAATCCTCAAGGACAAGACAGGGATCCTTGGGGTTATTGGGGTATCCTGGGGGGCGGGGGGATCCCAGGCTGGCTTTGTAAGGCCAGAATGTTCAAACCAGTAACTACAGTGGGTTTTGGAACGGGCAGCAGTGTCCTGCCAAAACTAGTCTTCCTGTTTTGTTTTTGTTTTTTCTCCATACTGGGGATTGAACTTAGTGCCTCTAGCACGGGAGGCCGGCACCTGACCACTTGAGCCATGCCTCCAGCCCTTTCATTTGGGGTGTCGGGCGTACTACAGGACTTCATCCGAGACACTGCAAACAGGTTGGGACTCCGGGTGTCAGGGCCTGGGAGCTTGGGGCGGGGGGGCTTTACCTACAAAAGGCACAAAGATGGGAACTTGGCGGGGGCAGAGTATAATTATACTTTTTTGCCCATCCCCTGCCCTAGTGCTGGGACCTCATGATCTGAACCCCTACTGCCCAGCTACACCCCTACAACCTAACAGGCCATGCCATGAGCCCCGCCCCCTGCGGAGTCCCGCCCCCCAGTCCACCACAACCTATCCTGATTGTTTGTCACAAAGCTACACCTCAGAGAGAACGGAGCAGCAGTACCTGGTCCTTGGTTCTCCCCTCGCGCTCCCGGATGTAGGTGGTGACGATCCGCTCTGTCTCCTCTCGCAAGCGGGGGTAGGAGCTGAGCTGGGGGGCAAGCAGAGGGGCCGCGTTGGCAAGGTCCTTGTGTCCTGGTGTGGGCAGCAGTGGGACTCACGGCAAGTGGAAAATGCAAGGGAGACACAGACGGGGTGGCCACCGAGACCCCACACTGCTCCCGTCTCCCGGCTGCTCAGCCTGAGAGACAGGAACAGGACATGGGGGGACAGTGGGGTGCAAAGGGAGAGGGGACCCACGCATGCGCAGTGCTGCTTTGCAAGCCAGTGATTGGAGGAAGGTGAAGGTGGCAGAGACAGCGAGAGTGAGTGTGTGTGTGTGAGTGTGTGTGTTTGGCCCCCGGGGGTCCGGAGGACCCTCCCCACCCAGCGCTGCGTGAGCGCAGGGAATCTGGACCATCGGCCTCGGTGGAACCCCCTTGGAGGGCAATTTCTGGTTGTGGCATCATCTGTGCCCACTCAGCCAACGCCCCCCCGCCCCCCCCCCGGGTCCCACCTTTGACCCTGGCCTTGGGGTCCAGTCCACAAGTCACACTGCTAAGGAGAACCCCGCTCAGGCCCTTGAACCTAAGAACACACAGCTCTCTCTACTTGCTTTGGTGAGGGCTGCCCCCCCCCCCCCCTGCTAACTCAACTCAGGGCCTCACTTGAAAGAAGGTGCTTTGGTGCTAGAGCTACATCCCTAACCCTTTTGTGCTTCAGCTGTTTTTCTAATAGGGCTTCCGGTTTCTCAACCTCCCCCCCTACCCCCCTTTCCAGGCAGGCCTCAGACCCAGATCCTCCTATCCTGTGCCTCCCTCCTAGCTGGGATTAAACGTCACCCACCAAAACCGACTTACTGATTGAGCTGAGAGGTTCTCCCTAACTTTTTGCCTGGGTTGGTCTCAATCTGCAATGCTCCTATTCTCTGCCTCTCAAGTGGCTGGGATTGCAGGTGTGAGACACTGGGCCTGGCCCGAATCTACCTTCCTCTCAGGGTTCCAGGTATGGGACATGGTGCTTTGTTCGTTTCCTGCATCTGGCTATGTCCAAGGTGCCTGAAGGCACAAAGGTGGGACCCACGTGACCACTGCTCCTTATTTGGCTGCTGAAGCTTAAGTTGAAAAAAATAAGACAAACTGGACCACACCAGGGAGTTCCTACGGAGGCAGAACGTTCTAGATGCTCAGGGTGAGGTCATGAATGGCAGGGAGATGATGGGAAACTGACGCGGAGGCAATAGAGAACAAAACCTGTTACCTTCTCGGCACATTTTTTAATGACTGTGGCCAGCTCTGAGACCACGAGGTCAACACACTTCAAACTTGGCTCTTTGAGTTTTACAATCTGTTTTTTCACAATGGCTTCAAATGCCATGTCGGGGGTGAAGAGCCCCGTCCTGGGTCAGACGGAGGGTGGGACGAGGTGGAAAGACACCCAGGGATAGTGCAGGCCACACACACAGGACAGGAGACAGAGAGAGAAGAAACGAGAAATCAGCTGGTTAGTATGTGCATGGCGAAGCCTGGGCCCACATTTGCCCCGAAGCTGCTTCGGCTCAAAGAGGCCTGGGGTGGGAAGAAGGCAAGGGAGGGGAGGGGTGGAATCTGGTGAGTTTACGCAAGTGCCAGGGGGAACGTGGTTGTCCAAAAGGCAGCAAAGGCATGCGGAGACCACAAACACGATCCCATCTGTGGCATTGGATGATGTTGGATGACATCAGACAGGCAGAGGCCAATCAGTGCCCGTCTAGGTTGCTTTCTTTTCCCTCTCCCCCACTTTTTTTTTTTAAATGAAGAAGCTAATGAAGCAGCAAATGGGGGCTCTTTCCAGACTTCACACAGAAGGCGCAAGCACAAATGCCCTGCCAACCCCGAGCGCTGGGGATGTGGGGGTCACACAAGCAAGACTGCCCACCGTGAAGCACTTTAGCTGCTGGAGAGAGGGGTGCCACCCTGGGGACCAGGCCCTCCCTCCCGGGCAGGCCCCCTGGGTGACAGGAAGACAGGCTGGCCAGGCTATTTGGGAGCCCAGATAGTTTTGCCCAGCGGTGGTCAGCGAGCATTCATTACACTGCTGGCATCCAAATTGTGCCGGCACTGGGGGGACAGAGAAGGGGCCAGCTCTAAAGAAGCCAGAAGCTGCTGGGCATTTTGTCCCAAAAAAGGGGGTGATGGCTAGGACGGTTGGGCTGGTGGAGAGGGGTGGGTGGTGGGGAGGGATCCTCTATGCTTCCCAGAAGGCAGCGAAAGCTACAAGCCCAATTCCAGCAGAACACATGCCAGGCTTGGTATCAGGTCCCAGGAGGCCTGTCCCACTGTCCACCTGTCTGGCCAGCTCTAGGAGCTGGGGTGCCCCTGGGACATGGTACCAAGCCGCTGTGGGTGCCGTCCAGGTGCGATACCTTACTGGTACACTGCCTAACGGTATTGATTAGCTCCTGGATAACCAGGTCGACGCATTTGAGACAGGGCTCTTTCAGCTTCACCACTTGCTTTTTCACAATGGCCTCGAACGCCAAGTCGGGCGTGAAGAGCCCCGTCCTAAAAATCGCCCCAACCCAGCGGGCAGGGAGGTAAGTCAGAGAGAGACAAAGCCAGGTCAGCGACCACTGATGCCCTCCCCACCCCTCAGGGCCAGACCCTGCTAACCCTTGGGGCTGGACACCTGACTCTGGCTGGGGAGGTCCCAGGTGGACCCCGGTGGTGAAGCAGGAATAAGAAGGGGACCCAAGGGGACTCGGCTCTGTCCCCATCGGCTGCAGACAAATCCACGGCAAACTTCCTAGGTATATTTACTGGGGTGGCCAAAAGGCAAACCTCAAGGCCTGGGGACCCCCCCCCGCCTCCCCCAGCGCCACACCCTCAACACCCAGCATCACACCCAAACAGAGAAAGCTATGACAATCACCCTCAGAGCCCTCTGAAGGCCTTAAGACTTGGAGGGGTGGGCTTAAGATTTGGGGATCCCAACTGGCTTGAGAGGAAGGGGTTCTCCCCATAGAACTTGCCTGACACCATGAATGTTCTTAATGGCATAGCTGATCTCCCGTCTCAGATCTTTTTCGTCAAACTCCATCTGAGAAGACAGAAGGGACACACACAGGGTTCCCGAGGCAGGCCGCAAACAGGAGGTGCAGGGGTCCCACAAGGTAGATTCATCAGGCAGAAGATGGATCCCAGCTTCTAATTCTAATTCAAAGCCTCTTAGCATCCCCCATGCATCTTTTCAGAATTCTTTCTTTCTTCTCTCTCTCTCTTTCTTTCCTTCCTTCCAGTCCTGGGACTTCAACTCAGGGCCTAGACACTGTCCCTGAGCTTCTTTTGTTCAAGGCTAGCATTTGACTACTTGAACCACAGCACTACATCTGGCCTTTTCTGTGTATGTGGTACTGAGTAATGGAACCCAGGGCTTCATGCATGCTAGGCAACCACTCTACCACTAAGCCATATTTGCAGCCCTCAGAATTATTTCTGTAGCAGAGCGATGGTGGCTCAGGCCTGTCAGCAGACTGAGATTTGAGGATCGAGGTTCAAAGCCAGCACAGCCAGAAAAGTCTGTGAGACTCTTATTTCTAATTAATCACAGAAAAAGCTTGAAATGCACTAGCCTTGGGCAAAATGAGGTTCGGGACAGTGCTCAGTGCCAGGGTTCAAGGTCCAGTACTGGCAAAAAAAAAAAAATATTTTTGAGTTTGATTCCTCAGCACATTAGCAGAAAACAGGAATTGGTTCAGTGGCTCAAGTGGCAGAGTACTAGACTTGACTGAAGAGCTGAGGGACAGCACCCAGGCCAAGTTCAGGCCCCACAACTGGCCAAAAAAAAAAAAAGAATATATGTGTATGTATATTTTTTTTCTTTTGAATAAAGGTAAGCATAGATTATTAACCTTAATTGTGGGTATATGTTACCCACAATTTGGGAATCAAAAGTGTGTATCCCACTCTTTGGTAATCAAAAGGAAACTATGTGTCCTTGTATCCTGCGATTTCAGGGTGGTAACCACACTCCTATCACCAATCAGTTGCAGTGCATTTTTGTTATTTACTTATTTATTTACCTTGTGAGGCTTGAACTCTGGCCCTGGGCGCTGTCCCTCAGCTCTTCAGCTCAAGGCTAGTATACTACTTTGAGCCATAGCGCCATTTGTAGTTTTCTGATAGCCAGCCTGGGCTGGCTTCAACTTGTGATCCTCATAGCTTAGCCTCCTGAGCTCATATTACAGGCTTGACACACAGTGTCACTTCCGGTTTTCTAGTGGTTTATTGGAGATCAGAGTCTCATGGACTTTCCTGCCAGTGCTGGCTTTGAACCACGATCCTCACAGATCTCAGCCTCCTGAGTAGCCGGCAGTACAAGCGTGAGCCACCAGCACCCGGCTACATGGCTAACTTTTGACCTATACTGCCTGAAGCCTTGCAGCTGCCCTCTCTGAGAAGAAAGCTAATGGGGACCTCTCACCCCCCGCCATGTTCCAACCCAACCACCCCAGGCCAGCGGCTAGCAGCCCAGAGCGGCACCCACCTTGACCAGCTCAAAGGGAAAGCGCTCGTGGAAGATGCGATTGATGCGGGCGCCTCCCGACAGCTCTAACGTGTCCACCTGGTCTCCCGAGCCCTCGATCCGCTTCTCAAAGTCCACGCCAAACTGCTGGACCATCCTAGGACAGACAAGGACATTGTCAAGCTGGGTGCTGGTGCTTATGCCTGTAAGCCTAGCTAACTCAGAAGGCTCAGATCTGAGGATCATGGTTTGAAGTCAGTCTGGGCAGAAAATCCGTGAGACTTATCTCTGATGAATCACCAAAAATTAAGCTGAAAGTGGAGCTGTGACTCAAGTGGTAGAGTGCAAGCCTTGAGCCAAAAAAGAAGAGCTTAGGCCGGGCGCCAGTGGCTCACGCCTGTCATCCTAGCTACTCAGGAGGCTGAGATCTGAGGATTGCGGTTCAAAGCCAGCTCGGGCAGGAAAGTCCCTGAGACCCTTAGCTCCAATTAACGACCAGAGAACCGGAAGTGGCACTGTGGCTCAAGTGGTAGAGCTCTCGCCTTGAGCTGCAAAGCTCAGGGACGGAGCCCAGGCCCAGAGTTCAAGCCCCACAACCTACAAAAACAACAATAATAAAAAAAGTTTAGGAGTGCCACAAAAACAAAGACACCCACAGTCAAGGGAGGTGGCACATGGCTGTAGAACGACACGAACGTGACAGAACACACCCCGCAAGCGCTGCCGGGCACACACTCGCAGCCTATTCGATTATTCCATCACTGGGTCTGAGGGGGTCAATTATCGGGCTGACTTTGCGGATGGCCTGCAGGGGTCACCGCTCTGTCGCCTCTGTCCTGAGGCTCCAGCTGCTTTGGCAGATGTAGGGTGTGAAGGCAACCCTCTCCACCCTTCCCCAAACCCTGCCTCCTCCCCCTGCCAGGTCAGGAGGGTTCTCCAGTCACCATGGGCTGTGAGGCCTTGCATGGCTGTGGCTACCCCCTCTTGGCCTCAGTTTCCTTATCTGCAAAATGGGCAGATGGGCAGAGTCCATCCGATGACACGATGCTTCTAGAGTTCATCGAGTAATGCATGCAGCCTTACCTCAAGAATCTCCAAGGAAACAAAGCAACAGAGCTGCTGATGACACTTCACACCCAAACCCGATGTCATGGTGCTGTCCATTGTTGGGGTGTGATGTGTGTACTGGGGTTTGAACTCAGAGCCTGGGTGCTGTCCTTCAGCTTTTCACTCAAGGCTGGTGCTCTACCACTTGAGCCACACCTCTATTCTGGCTTTTTGGTGGAGATAAGAGTCTCTGGGAGGGGCTGGGAAGGTGGCTCAGTGGTAGAGCGCTTGCCTTGCATGCATGAGGCCCTGGGTTCGATTCCTCAGCACCACATAAACAAAAAGAAAAAAGCCGGAAGTGGCACTGTGGCTCAAATGGTAGAGCGCTAGCCTTGAGCCGAAGAGCTGAGGGACAGCGCCTAGGCCCAGAGTTCAGGCCCCACGACCGGACCCAAAAAGAAAAAAAAAAAAAGAGTCTCGGATTTATCTGTTGGGTGAGCCTCAGCTCTCAGCCTCCTCAGTAGCTAGGATTACAGGTGTGCTCCACTGGCACCTGTCATTTTCTCCTTTCCAGTTAGGGTCTTTCTGTGTGGCCCAGGGCAGGCTTTACATTCCTGGATTTGAGTACTCCTCCCTGCCTCAGACTTCTGAGTGGCTGGGATGACAGGGCAGGACACCCTGCCTGGCTTTCATTTGCTCCTTGTTTCCTCCAACTCCATGGACCGCCATCCCCTGCACCGCCATGACCGAGATGCTCGGGACTAAACCAGTGACGGGATGGACCCGGGCCTGGCCGGCACGCTACGGGCCGGGCTGGGGGTGGGAAGGGAACACATACTGTAACAGGGCTTTGGTTTTGCGCGTGGGGTCATCAGGCCGGAAGTTCTTGTACTCCTCCACCTCCTTCTCCAGGGACAGCAGCTGGCTCTGCAGCTTGCTGCGCAGGGATGGCAGCGACTCCCGGATGTGGTTGGTCAGTTGCTGCAGGGCACAGGATGGGTGGTCAGCGAGGGCAGCATGAGGCCCAGTGGGGCCAGACGCCGTCCGATGCCACCCCTCACCCTGGCACACCCCACGGCCTTGGGCGGAGGCAGAAACATCCAGCTCTAGACAGGCCACAGCAGGGATCCACAAGGCTGTGTAGGGCGGGGGAAGGGGGGCGGCGGCGGCTGCAGGTCAGGGGGTGACACTTCACGGGGACACCTACTCGCAGGCCCCAAGAAGCCCGAGGCCCTTGATGGGGCCACCGTCTGCGGGGCGCCTTTCCTCCAAGGACAGGGAGGGCAGGAGTGAGGGTGTAGCTTCAGTGGCAGGATTCGCATCAGGATCCAGGTAGAAGAAAAGAAGAACATGGGAGCCGTGGGAGGCTGGAGTGTGGAATGGAGCTGGGAGGGGACCCTGTGGCCCCGCCCCCCACCCCAGTTCCCCCGCTTTGAAGCTCCTCTGGCTTTTTTTTTTTTTAGTTGGTAGTGGGGCTTGATCTCGGGCTTGGGTGCTATTCCTGAGCTTCTTTTGCTCAAGCGTTAGTGCTCTACCACTTGAGCCACAGCATCACTTCCAGTTTTCTGGTGGTTCACTGGAGACTTTCCTGCCTGGGCTGGCTTTGAACCTCAATCCTCAGATCTCAGCCTCCTGAGTAGCTAGGATGATGGGCGTGAGCCACCGGCGCCTGGCCCCTTCTGGCTTTTATTGGTACAATTTTCTTTTCTTTTCTTTTTTTTGCCAGTCCTGGGGCTTGAACTCTGGGCCTAGGCACTGTCCCTGAGCTTCTTTTGCACAAGGCTAGCCACAGCGCCACTTCTGGCTTTTTCTGTGTATGTGGTGCTGAAGAATAGAACCCAGGGCTTCATGAATGGTAGGCGAACGCTCTACCACTGAGCCACTTTCCCATTTTCAGTGCTCGGGATGGGAGCCCAGGGGCTTTCCGCAGGCCAGGCATGCCCTCTGCTGCTGAGCTGCATCCCCAGCTCCTTTGCTCTGGGTTGGAACTCCATGAATTTGTTCCTTGGCCACTGTCTTTAAAGAGAGGTAGGGCTGGGCACTGGTGGCTCACACCTGTAATCCTAGCTACTCAGGAGGCTGAGATCTGAGGATCGTGGTTCAAAGCCAGCCCAGGCAGGAGAGACCGTGAGACTCCTAACTCCAATAAACCACCAGAAAACCGGAAGTGGC